GGTAAGAAAAAAACAGAACAGTCTCAGACCCTGTGATAAAAGTTTGTCTTAGTTGCGTAATAAGGGAGAAAGGTTAAGAGCAAACTGGCATCACCTTTGGGAGGGAAAAGAATGGAATTTAAATAGAGATCTAAGGGTGAGTACATAATTTGAGATATTATATCATGTGAAATATTTTTCTTTTGATGCCTGGAAGATTATCTGGGAGAAGATATCTGGCTCTGTGCAGTGCATGAAGGTCTTGCTCAGTCGTCTCTGAATTCAAGGGAGGGTAGAAACTGGCCTTTCTCTTTTTCTGTTTTGAAACGGTAATGTTAATTCCAAACATGGCCCTCAAGTTATCTTTGCTAAAAACAAGCAAGGAGAAGTGTTTCCATCCCAGAAAACAAAATTGCAGATTGCTTCGATCAAATACACATTGTATGTAAAATCCAAACCCAGGCCATGCCCCATGAACAAGTGAATGCATCACGTGAACAGAAGTAAAAATTAAACAGAGCGCACTGCTGAGAGCGATGCAAATGGTAAATAAGGGTTGAGAGATGAAAGACAGCTCAGTGACTCTTGCCACTTAATAACTGTGGCAGATGTTAGAAGTAGCAGGTAGGCAAATGGGTTTAACTGTATGATTTCTGCATTGCCATTTTCCCTTCTCTTTCAGTGGTACCATTAGACCTTCCTGTTTTATACTCTCCAGACTTCAGTTGCTGCTTTGTGTTTTGAAGATTAAAGCAGCATACTCAACACACGTTTATCTCTTCTGTTGTGCACTAATTGATAGGAGTTTTACTCTGTTGTGAAGTCCATACCTGAGTCAGAGTAGAGCCTATGTGAGAAGGTTTTATCCCCTGTAGATTCGTAGTAACCTCTAAATAAATTTTGTGACCATATAAAGAAGTACATTAAGAATGACTTCAGAGAAGTAAAATATGGATACTTTGCCTCACACTTGGGATTTTTACAGAACACCCTGTTAAAGTGGGTAATTTTTTCATATATAATTGATTTTTTAAATGATCAACCTGTAAATACACTGCAAATGCATTAAGTCAGCTCTAACAATCTCCAAACACTACAAAGGTTCACAAACAGCTACTCTGTCCACACATCTCTACCTCTGGTTGATGGAGATGCTCAGGACCACCTGAACACTTCGCTGCGCATTGTACTCTAGGGAGTGAACTTGCATTAGCAGAAAGTGGACTAGGGGACCTCCAGAGGTCCCTTCCAGCCCCTACCATTTTGTGATTCTAGGAGATGGCCTGAGGGGAGCAGTCAGTGCTCTGTGAATGCAGCCTCACCTCATCCTCCAATGAAACATTCCTGCAAACTGAAACAAACAGCACAGCAGAGAGATTTTCCATATAATTTCTGTTACGAAGGCCAGTGAACTTTCTTATTTTCAATATTAATTAGCCTTAATATAGCAAGTTACAGTGTAAGCTCTCTGGGACAAAAGCAGTATATCCATATTTGCCTTACAAATTAAGGCTGTATTTTGCGTGCTACAAAAATAATAATTGTGAATAAATTAATTTATTAGTAACATTGTGATGTTACATTTCCCTACAGTTTCCAATACTATTTCTTACCAATTTCTTTCCATATTTTGCCCAAGAAACCAGTCCTTCTATCATAGGAGAGAACACCTCTGATTATAGCCTATGCAACTGAAGAGTACAGCTGGAGAACTTCCTGGCTTGCAGGGACAAGACTTCAGATCCCCCAAAGAAATGACTGGAAAACATCTCATTTCCTACTGTTTGTATCGTGGGAGGAATAAGTGAGTGTTTACTAGCATAGCTCTTGCAAGGGCCTGTCTGCAATTTGCGTTTAGAAACCCACCACAGATTAAGCTCTCCGGAGTTTTCAACCCAACCTGAAGCTGGTTGGAATTCTTTTGGTCATTGGCATTTTTTTCTGAAGACCCCACAAAGTAGTGGTTTTGCAGCCAGCAGGAATGGATGAGGGTGGAACTCCTCCAGGAGCCCTGGGGGTGGCTGGCATTTAGCTCCCAAGAGCTGTTTGTAGTAACTGTGTGTCCGAGCTATTAAGCTTACATTTTTGGGGGGGCTTTAAAGGGCTTTTGCTTTCTCACGCGCAAACACTGAGAAGTTTTCTCTGTGGCATTCATCATATAGTTAACAATGTGTGGTGCAGAAATATTTTTTTTTAAGCTGGTGTTTGCAGAGACTTGGGGAGCTCAGTGCCTGGATGTATAGAGCCGACCTAGCAAAGCACGGAGGTCAGCAGAGTGATTTTTGTATTTACACTGGCATAGCTGGGAGCAGAATGTGGCCTTTGCAGTTCTTGGCTTGCTGGACTTCTATTCAGTTTTAACCCTCTTTTGTGTCTTTTTTGTGTTTTCTGGCTGAATTCTGAAATTTGTAGCTTTATTTTAGGAAAAAATTGAACATCGTGTTTTTGTTCTCGGTTATATGAGGTCTTGGATAGATGCTTATTGTGTTCTCAAAAGAATTTCATGTAAATACGTATATTGATTTTGCTACCCATCAGCTCCACAAACATCTCAGATCTTGAGAACACGTAGCGTATAACTGACCTTATGTGTGTTGTGTTGGGGGCAGCAGACATCTGGTGCCCAGCACAGTGCAGTGTTGGGAGAAAGGAAATGTCTGTGCCTGTAGTAAAGAACAAATACTCCTGAACCTGATATTTGGGATAGGACTTAAATACAGTGAGATTTTAGGTGCTCCAGAGCATACACAAGACTGATGAAATCATCACAGTTACTTCCTTGTTAACCTCTGATATTAACACATTATTGGAGCTGACCTCAGTGATCGTTAGCTTGAATGGAGCTTTAAGATGATTTTTGCTCACTGTTGCTTTCCTGAACGTGAATCAAGAGCTTATATACTCAAAGAAGATGAGAGATAAAGAACAAAAAATCACAGCACTCCCCAAGGTGACAAATGGCATTTTCCCTGTGCAGTGGCATGGGATGCAACTGCAACTTCATGTGCTAAGCACCAAACTCATCATTCTGCATCTTTCTTCTGACTGCAGTGGGAAACAGCATCTTCATGTCGTCGTTTCTCCAGTTTCTCCATCAGAAAGGAATTTGATGAGCTGCTTTAAGTATTTCTTGTTGTTTGCATATGTATGAAGCCATTTTTCTGTTGGATAGACTTGCTGTACATGTTTATAAATTGATGCTTTATCTGTAAGAAAACATATGACTCCAATACTGTTTTGGCTTATATCACAACAGATTGCTTTGAAATGCACAGCTGCATGTGTATGCCTAAAATGCTATCAACATCCTCCAAAATAAGAGCTGGGAAGAGGTGAGGCCAAATTCCCACAAATTTCAATGGAATGCGAGCTCCTAAATAGAAACTGTGAACTCCTTGTGCTGCTGCTGTGAAATGGTCAATGTTTTGGGGCTTTCCTGATGCCTAAGCACTGGACTGTGTGTCCATACAGAGCACTTTGGCCTTGCCTGGGCCAGAGCAGCTTGTCTCCGTTTTTGTCCCACATCCAGCAGTCACACAGAAGATTGCATGGGATAACCCCTGATGTCTCTTCTCTGTATATGATTATTAAACAGTAAGGGAGACAAAAGGAGGCACCCTGGGGTGTGAATCCTGCTGCACGGCTTCTTGTAATGTTAACCAGGTCATGGGGATGAGACAGAAACCGGTTTTAGGGCAGAGACTCAGGACAACTTCTTCTCTCTGAATTTTGCATTCACTTTTGCACGTCCTGCTTGATGGAGCGCTGCAGCCTCCTCGCTGTGCTCAGCATCTGAGCTCTTCTCTGCCTTTTAAATGAAAGGGATGGTGAGGTTTTTTCTCAGGGGATGTCAGGCCATGAATCATGGCTGGAAGAGAGGCATTTCTGGGTTTGCAGTGTTGAGCCCCAGAAAGAGACAAATCCTGAAGATGGAAAGCTTTCCCTGAGGTCGGCTCTATGTATGTTAACTATTGGCGCATTCCTATTTGACTCCTAATTTACAACCTGTGCTCTCCGCGAGCAGGGGCACCGACTGACACCGCCCTCTGTCTTTCGGCCCAAGGAGCAAAGCCGAGAGTCTCTTCTGCCTCCCTCTCAACACCTGAAAGGCTGAGAATCATGCTGAAAATCCTGAAAAACGAGAGATGGTGATTTCTGCATAGGGTAGTATTGTATGGCAGAGAAAGGGCTCCTCTGAACAAAGTGGAGCAGTTAGAGGGCAGCTAGAACACAGCGTGGGACTCAGTGGAAGAGTTTCATCCTTGTCTTGATTACAGACTGCTCACTGCATAGGTAATTGTGTAGTTTAGCCTTTATGAGTGAAAAGATACAGTACTGAGTACCAGATGACTGCTTTTGGGACAGCCATGCACCTGAAAAATGTCCCCGTGATGTTAAACCGCAGCCCACAATGAAGGTGCTTGGCTTTGGCACATCAAGCTGCACTACAGGGAAGAAAACAAACCCTGTGAGCTGCATGGGGAATTTTAATTTGGATGCCCCGAGTGGAAACATCTCCGAAGGGGAGAAAGTGCACGAGAGCGCGGTGTGGTCGGAGCGAGTGCGTAGCAGCGAGAACCGCTCCGGCCGTACCCACTCCCATAGGAGAAGCCTCGCGCTCGGAGCTGGGCGGGCAGAGCCGAGGTTGCGGGGCGGGTGTCGGAGCTCCGGCGCTGCGCACTCCCGGCGGCGGGAGCTCGGGGCTGCGGGAGCGCGGAGCTCGGAGCCGCGGGGCGGGGCGCGGAGCGGGGCCCTGCAGCCGCGCCCGGGAGGAGGGAGGCGGCGGCGGCGGCTCCGCGGCGGTAGCAGCACGGCGGCTCGGCGGCAGGTGATGAAGCGGAGCCGCGGGCGGCGGGGGACGGCCGCTGCCAAAACGCGGAGCCCGGCGGAGGCGCGGAGAGGTGTGCGGAGCCCGGCGGCCGGAGCTCTGGGGAGGCTCCGGGGATACGGGGCGCGAGGGGCCGGCGAGGGGGTGCTGGGGGGTCGGTACTCGGGGCTTCGGGCTCGGCGCTGGGCAGAAACTTTCGTCGGGGCTCGCGTTGCCGAGGGGACAGGGCTGTATCCCAGCGCGCCGGGCAGTGCCATTGAGGATAACCTCCGCAACTCAAGGCACGGAACGCTTTCCCGTGGGACGTGTGAGGACTGGATTTTTAAAATGAAAGCGCTGCTGAAAGCCTTGCAGAGGAGCTTCCTTTGGCAAGCTTTCGTACTGGAGGCTTTTCGTAAGGGAAATATATTGTCTTTCAATTGGATGCAGAAAATAGAGCTGAATGATCGTTTCCTAAATCCAGCGTGATTCTTGCTTTCGTTTAGGAGAGCTTTTGGTGGCGTTCGTGTGCCACAGACATCCTGCACTCTAAATATCTCCTGATCCTCTAGCAAAGAAATGTCTGTTGGTGTTCAGTGGGTTCTGTGCATGTACGGCATAGGCATACTTAGTTCCTACTTCACATTTACTTTATGGAGATGCAGGCTCAATGCTTCTGCTCAGCTCTGCATTTTGACAGCGTCCTCTCTTGCAGCTCAACTGCGGGGGGACCTTCAAAATGAAGCTAACAAGTAAAATATGCTTTGAAATGGAGTGCAGATGGGAAGTGTCGAAGTGTTGTGTTGCACAACAGCCTGCTCTGTGTGTGTGTGCTGCGCTGCTCACACAACTCTTGGTTTTATGTGTCCGCGATCTGAACCCCGTGCTGCTCAGAAATAGCATGTGGTAGTACCTCGACCAGCAGCAGCTCTGGTGAGAAAGGCTGATTCCTCTCTGTCCTGACAATGTTTCTGACACCTCTGGGCAGCACATTTGTTAGGAATGTGTATGTATCCTACATTATTAATTCCAAAATATTGTCAGTTGTTGAATAAGATGATAAGCTGGTGTTTTCTGGCTCAGGTAGGTGTTATCTGAACTTTTCTTAGAGGTGCTTCATTAGATATGTTTCTTGCATCCAAAAGCATTATTGTCAATTTCCATTTCATATGGACTGATAGTAGCAGACTGCTAGTTGCACCTTCAACAGCAGAAACTGGGGCTCTCTACCTCGCCCTTATCTCCTCATCTCAGCCTTTCTTTAGGGAGCATTTCTGTGGCATTATCTCCTGGCTCAAAAAGGAGATGCCTCCTCATGGAGGGGTGTAGAGGGACGGGAAACCTACAGCTGGTTTTGGTAAAACTTGGGTAAGAAAAGTAGTGAATGCATTTCCTCATGTCACTGACCTGCGTATCTATTGCAGCAATGTGCCTCCAGCTTTTTCGTGGGGAGAGAGCTTGTGTCTCTTGTGTTACCTTTTCTGAAATCTTGAAATGATTTTTGACATAGTGACTAAATATTGTCATGGTATTTAGAAAATCAGTTTAATTCTGCGTTCCTCACATGGCTGTGCCGGAAGGGTTAGTCATCTAGCATGATGTATCTCTGCGCATGTGATTAGGTGGAAATGTGTTAAAGATATATGCTACGTATCCTAATTTTTCTGCATAGTCAGGAAAGTATGTTGCCTGCACATTATTAATCCTCTTGAAATAGAAAACCTGTGTCAGTACAGAAGGATCTTACTGTGATTTAGCAGATGTATGACTGTGTATGGACTTTAAGCTTGAGCAGAGGGAATTCTTCCTTTGAGGAGGATCTCATCCCCAGTCTTTAGTGGAAAATCATTTTCTTCACATGCAAAAGGCATGAAAAGTAAAGAGCATTAACCCTGATTCTGGTACCTGACTTCCCTCTGACATCTGTATCTGCCCACCTGTCCCCAGAGGGAAGGAGAATGTGGCAGACTTCGGTCTGAATCTGATCAGCAGTCCTTGAGCTGTGACTGTGGGGAGCGGAGCACAAGGTCTAACTTTCTGAAGCTTTCAGGTATGTAAAATGCCACAGATGCCTTTTGTTTCTATGTAAATGTCATGTGTATTTCAGCAAACACTAGGTAGCCTGGTGTATCTCACTGCTATTTAGTACTTCATTATTGTTTTATAAACCACGTGGGCTTAGGGTAAAAACTGATGGAGAAGCATGGTGTGGTACAGCTGGTACCTATTGTGTTTTGTTTGTATGGCGCAGTGCTCTTCTTTGAATCCAAAGGAATGGAAACATCATGGAATTTTCCTCCAAGTGATGGGTGTGGAGCTGTTATAGTGGCTGTAGCTCTAACTGTGGACATTTGAATTGTCTGCCATGGGACAGTGTCCCCTGTGTACATGCAGAGAATTTCCTCCTTGCTTGCAGTTTGCCCTGGGACTGTCCCTGGGAAGAGGACAGCCTCTGGAGGGCTGTGGTGGCCCAGGGCTGCTCTCTGGTCATCTGGAGCCTTTCCCTTGAGGCTGAACTCTGGCATGTCTCTGAAAGCCTATCTGGTCTGTAGTTCACTGCAGAAGGAGAAAAAAAGAAGCTTCTGAGCAGATGATACATCTTACAAGGTCTGCTTTTAGTGTCTTACTATGCTTTGTGCCTGCTATGACCGCAGAGCCACCACAAGCCCTCTGGGGCTGAGCTGAATTATTTTCTGCCTTATGTAGCACCAAGAGAAACATCAACTACGAGAGGTTACAGCTGCAGAACTTGTGTGTGCGGTGTGTCTCGTTCAGATGTTATTTCCTTAATAAAATTGCTCATTTGGTGTAAAGAGTTGTTGGCTGGTTTGGGCTTTTTTTTTCTTATGTTTTTTCCTCTCCTTTTTTTTCAATTCTCTTCCTTTTAGCCTTGGGATATAACTGTCAAATTGTGTTCTTTCTTTCTGGCTTGTTTTGTGAGTTAATTTAAGGCACAGTCCACAGTCCTGGAAGAGTGTGATCACAGAGAACTTGAAGTGGTAGCCCATTTACACGTGTGGGTAGAAATGGATGCTTCAGTGGGTACTGCATGTTCTCGAGAACAGCAGGAAGGCAGCAGCCCTTGGAGAATGTTTCATAGGATTTATCTTGGGAGCTGCTTGCAGCTAGCCTCATGAAGGTAGTAAGGGCTTTGGGGAAGTTTGTGTCATCTGAAAATGCTGTGCATTCATAGAAATGCTCATGTAGGCATACTCTCTTAGGCTGATAGTCCTGTCCCTTTTCCCAGTCCTTCTTTCACACTGCAGACCTTGTCTCATGATAGCTGAGGCTCTGATGGAGACTTGCCACAAAGCCCAGGTTACTGTTAGTGTGGTGCTCAGCCTGGAGGCAGGATGTGGTACCTCTGCTTTGCCTGGTCATGGAATTGTAGTATGGCTTGGGTTGGAAGCAACCATGAAGATCATTATTTTGCTTGTCGTAGGAGTGCTGTCAGTTCTAGAGTGAATGCACTGAGTGTTTTGCTGGTCTAAGGACCTGTAGCAGCTTGGGACTGCTAATGAGGCATTATGCCTTTGGTTAAAATACCCTGTGGAATTCCATTGTAGGCCAGAATGAGTGAGAGCTTAACCCCGGATTCGGTGGAAGTGTTAACCATTTGTGCAGCATGCTTCATAAAAACTGAGTGATCACTGACTGGCATCACCTGTCATTTCAGTCAAAAGCTAATCCAGGTCAGGATCCTGTTTTGGAGGCACAGGGAACTGGGATTCATGGAAACACTTCTTAATGACCCACATTTGCTCCATTTTGTGTCCCAGAGGCGTATCTCCGGCATTTCTGGTTCTGGAAAAGTGGCTGCTGCACCATGGATTGTATTGGAACCAGGCTAACTGGAGCAGTGTAGATCCATGTAACACAAACAGAACATCAGAAGTGGCTTTGTTGCTCGTAGACCCCTATAGAAGTGCCTTGTTGCTCCTAGGCCCTCACAGGCAGAATGGCTGTATTTTCTGAGCCCTCCACTGGAGTGGGATGGCCAGGTACACTGGCTCTGGAGCAGGTTACATCCATTGCATGCTTCAGAGATTTCTGTGCTCCTAACAACAGAAGAGGGACTAAGACTTATTCCAGTGCTTTGAGAGAGAAGTTCAAGGCCACTGCAAAGGTACGGCTGTTTGCATAGCTACTAGCATTGCTTTCTTGGGGCTGTGGTTCACATCGGCATGATTCACTTGATTTGTCCCATGGCATCCTAAGTGTTTCCTATATTCTGGAGAAGTTCTTGACTCTGGATGAACTCTACTGGTGCTGAAGATTTGCAGTAACTTGCAGAATTTGACCTTTTGTCTCAGCAAACCACTGTGTGGCTTCCAAGTACTACTGTGAGTATGTACAGGGAATGTATCTGTAAATCCCTGCAGCTGCTGGTGAGCAGGGAAAGGAGCAGGGCAGCACTGATGTTGCTGACACAGGAGTTATGGGTAGAAACAGGAATCTCACCCTACTGGGCAGGAAGGAAATACATTTTCAAGTTCTTGTCCACAATCCAGAACAGTTTAGGAGTGCATTAGTGGGGCCAGACTGGTTGTTGCCAGATAATCTTGCAGTTTGTCGAGAGCACTATACAGGAAAGGATTTTGTCCTATGTCTTTGAACACTGACCTTCCTCTTTTAGGGACAGGATCTTTTGCGAGGTGGATTGATCTAGTCACAACTCTTGTGCTCTTCTAGTTCAAAGCTGAAAGAGCAGAAGGGAGAGGGGATGAGGCAGATAAAACAAGAAATTACAGAGATCCTTAAACACAGGCTTGTAGAAAACAACTTTTAAAAGAAATGTTTAAAATAAGAATGACCACAACATGTAAATAATTTGCTGAGAGGTGATCTTCCAGACACAGAATGACCATTGCTGACTGCTTGGCTTGTGCTGTATAGTTTTCTGACTGGCTTGAGTTTATGGCTCTTTCCCAGATTCTTAAATGTGAAAATATTTAATTAAAGTGGCTTCTTGAGTCCATCAGTCTTGACCCATGACCTGGAGATAAGTGTGATTGCTGAGTTCATACTCATGCCTTTTCAGTTTGGATACAGAAGGAATTTGTTGACTGCTGTTTGTGAAGTGGCATTTACAGTGTAAACTGCTTCTGTTGCTTGGGGGGTAATAAGCCAACTGATAAGAAATCAGGGAAAGTTGCTTTCCTCGGTAAAGTAGAGGTTATATCTCAAGGAAATAAAGCTGTGAAGGGTATAGAAGTGCATTGTGTGTAGCGTCACCTCAGTTTTTTCACGTCCATGAAATAATGGACAAAAAAGTAAAGTGGTAGTGGTAAGAGCCACCAGGCACCACCTGCTTAGTAAGACCCAGCAGTGACGCAGGAGTTTTTTGAAGACTTAATGGATCTGCCCTGGTGAATTACCCACGCTGGCATTTGAAGAGCAGACTGAGGACGATAAGAGTGAGAAAGTACTTGTGGATGGGATAGAGAAATGCTTCTCTAGGGAAGGGATGCTTCTACAAATGCCAGAGAAAGAAAATCTCTGTGAAGTGCCTGCTGGAAGGGGAGATGAGCCGAGATTGGGAGATTGAGTTTGTTCTCTCAACGCAATTGTGTTAACGCTCTGTTCCTGCTTAAGTGACACCTCTGACGTAATGAAAGCTTTCTGGTCTTGCTGGCTGGCTGAGTCGCTGAAGGGAGGAATAGCAGGTGCTGAATTGAATCAAAGCCAGATCCCCAGGGGAAGAACTGGATGTCTGGTCCACGCAAGGAAGCTCTCAGCTCTGCACAATCTCTGCTGGTAGCTTTGGCTGTAGCTGGTGTCCTCAATGTGGGCTGGAGGTGGGAAGCTCCTCTTCTGTCAAATGCAGAGACGTAGTGAAGACCTAACTTGTGTTTTGCAGGAGTTTAAGGAGTGGTAAAGAAACTACAGTGTGGGCTAAGACTCCAGTGTTTACGTGTTACAGGGAAGTGTACGTGTGTCCATACGGCAATGTCTTCTGGCTGCCAAAGGTGTCACTGGGGTCTTCCAACGGAGCTCAGGAGTTGTAGGGCTTCAAAGGGAAACCTCGCTTTAGGCTGCACTCTCCAGCTGGACTTCAGTGGAATTATTCATGATTTACACCATTTTGCTGGAATGTGACTGTTCTCTCCTGGCTGTGGGCTGTGTTTTGAACTGTGGATAAAGGCAGACAGCATCTCGTGTCTAAAGTCCAGCTGCTGCAATCCTTTTAAAGTCTTGCCTTCACTTAAAAACCATGGAGTGCCTTCCAGAGCATCTTCTAAAGCAGAAGTTGAGACTAGCCAAGATGGTTTCTGAGGTTATCCTCCAGGGGAGAAACTTCTAAAGAGGCCGCCACTGAGCTGCAGTACTTGAGCAGCCTTCCGGAAACAGCTGCTAGAGATGCAGAAAGCTGAACTGGAATCTGGTTCATGGCTGAAAAGTTAGTTTCACCATTAAAACTAAAATTTAAGAGAGTCCAGCTGCCTGCAAAATGCAGCAGCTGGTTGAGCAACCAGGACAGTACTGGAGGAACATGGGAAAATATGTGTTGTATTGTCTTCCATGAGCCCTTTAGAAACAAACATGATTGTTGGCCAGAGGCAGTTGTTTGCTTTGTAGGTGAATTGCAAGAGAGCACTCCAGGGATGTGAGAACTCATGCTGGTATTTTTAAAGAGACTTTTTACTACAGCTTTTAATGCAGATCTCAAGAGCAGGAACAGTTTCCAATATGCAATACCACTGCTGATCAAAGCCTCCTGGCTGTGCTTAGTTAAGAGTAGGAAGCATCTGTCTTTCGTGTTGCAGTGAAGTCTGAGATCTACCCACTGAACAGGGTGTCAGGTGTTTTAGTCCCAGCTTTGCAGCCAAATGACAGCAACAGATTGTGGCCAAAGAGTGAAGGGAAACGGAGCACTTGTCTTTCTATAAACTTTTGTCTAGTGGCCCCTTTTTTCCTTGTGACCAGAGAGTTGAAGCCTCACCATGACTGGTGAATACTGTGCATTTTGATAACAGGTTTGAAGCTTGATGGAAGTGAAAGCTACCTCCAAAACTGTACCTTGCTGTGAACAAAATAACTGCTTGTGGGAAAAGAAAACCCAGAAAGAGCTGGTAGTGCTCTTTATGGCTTCTGTTTTCTAAATCAGATGGGAAAACTGGCCTGGAAGAAAAGCATGTTGGGGCAGTCTTCTGTTGCATGCAAGTGGTTATTAGCAACAATTGTGCATGCACGTCCTTTGGAGTCTGTTTTGGAGTTTCTACTTATTCTCCCACAGAGGCAATTTAAACATGCACTGTTGAGATTATTCTGAAAGTATAAACATCCATAGGTTCTCTCCTCCAACATTTGGAATGGCATTTGTATGTACACGGCTGCTTTGAAAAGTAATGCCTCCTATTTCCTTGTATTGGCCTATGAGATCAGAGGTGTATATTGGTGGTATGACAGTAGAGGTTGAACCTTCCCACTGGAATTCTGTTACGTTCCATTTACCGTGTGACAGATAGCAGCTGAGAGGCAGTCTGACAAATGGCATCTGACATGAAAGTGCAGATGAAGCAAAGATATTTCTCTTAATTTATCTGTGCAGAAAAAATGGCATCCACTGACATTCATCGGTGCTGCCTGAACGTTTATGGAGAGCAAACAGTGGATGTGAGTAAGAATTAAGGAGCAGACTACCATGGGTGACTGTGTTGTGGGTGTATACTGCAGTCTACTTGATCAGAAGGAGGAAGTGGATGAGGTCTTTTACAGACAGCTGGAAGTAGCCGTGTGATCTCCAGCAATGATTCTCTTGGGGGACTTCTGCCATCCTGATATTTGTTGGATAAGCAACTCGGCCAAGCAC